TCCAACTAAAAAGTTTCAGAAATAAAACATTCCAACAATGTATAAATAATGTTTTTTGTGCTAATGTTTTGATAACATCATAAAAGACCAGATGACTCTGAACAAAGGTTCTATTAACATTACTGGAAAAACCTTTGTTTATATCTTTGAGAGAACCTTGAGAGAACGTTAGCCAAGGTTCTGAGAATATTCCTTGTTAGCTGAGCTGGGTTTACATCTCACTCTCGCAATTGGTTATTTATCTGTCATTTTTTTTATACAATTTTCTTCCACGGAATAAGAAATAAAAAAAGTAGGCCTAATTGATTTTGTAATAACTTTTTATCTCACAATTCTTTTTTCTGGCAATTGCGAATTTATATCTTGCAATTCTGAATTTTTTTCTCAGAATTGCGAGTTTCTATCTCGCAATTATGACTTTCGATCTCACAATTATGAGTTTCTGTCTCACAATTATGAGTTCCTGTCTCACAATTATGAGTTTCTGTCTCACAACTATGACTTTCTATCTCACAATTATGACTTTCTATCTCGCAGTTCTGCCTATTGTGCTCAGAATTTTGAGAAACAAAGTCTGAATTCTGAGATAAAAATGTAGAATTGTGAGGGAAAAAAGTCAGAATTATGAGATAAAGAGTTATATTTCTCTCCTCTTCTCGGAAATGGGCTTAGTTTAGCGATAACACAGTTGCTCTAATAACCAATGTATGATTTAAAATCAGATATAGTTAGCCTGAAAGAGCACAATGTTAAGTCACCGCATACCGAGCTGCATTGCTTCACACCACTGAAACCGTAAGTCATACAGCTCGGCACTCACACCCACGAGCACATTCACTCTCATTCCTTGAGCGTTAATTTTAGTAAGGTGACGCAAAGCCTTGTGGCCCCTTCCTAAAGTAAACATGCTAAGCCTGGAGCAGGTATTCCAGACCTGAGGTTTCACCCGGAGCAGACATTCCCCACAGACCACAGAGGGTGAGACATAATGGTGCTGCCGTTTGATTGGAAAGGATAAGCGTTCATTCATATCATGAAGTTAATGACAGATACACAGTGGAATCAGTCTACACTCTAAAAAATGCTGGGTTGTTTCAACCCAACTTTGGGTCAAATATGGACTAACCCAACTTTTGGGTTAAAAATTTTATGTAAAAATTTAACCCAACAGTTGGGTTAGTCCATATTTGACCCAAAGTTGGGTTGAAACAACCCAGCATTTTTTAGAGTGTATATGAGGCCACAACCGCTTACACAAGGAATGCTCATCAAAGTTCACAGCATTTGATGGTGCAGTGCATCTGAAGTGACCCACTTACTAACCAACTATTTTTAACTTTTTTCTCACAGTTCTGAGATTACACTCAAAAAAATGCTGGGTTAAATTCAACCCAGTGCTGGGTAAAATAGGGACAAAACCAGCAATTGGGCTGTTTTTACCCAGTGGTTGGGTTAAATGTTTAACCCTACCTTCTGGGTAGTAACCCAACCGCTGGGTCAAAACAACCCAATTGCTGGGTTTGTCCCTATTTTACCCAGCACTGGGTTGTATTTAACCCAGCATTTTTTAGAGTGTATGGGGTAAGATTAAGGGATGTAGAAGAATCATGCAAAATAAGGCATTCATATGTGCTTTATAAGTACAAATACACAGCCATTATGCTATAAGCAGCCTGATAATAGTGAGAACTGGTCCCTAAAGTATTAGCTATTTATTAGTAATTTAATTTGTATCATCAAGAAGCACAAATATCTGTCCAAACACTTGCCTGAGGGTTTCTGAACACTTCATACTTGTCTATTTTCTCCTGAAAAAGCACTTTGTTTTCAGTGTCCCTTGTCCATGTAGAAAGAGGCTCCACTAGGTTCTCATGATCCTCAAACCCTCGTTCTGTGTGAAAGTCAATTCAAATGTCATCATTTTTGTCTGTACCAAATTCTCCTTTTTATAACTAAATATTGATAATTGATATTGCCTCCTTAAACATATGCACAGGTTGTGTGAAGAATCATTTGACAGACACTTTTATCCACAGCAACTTAAAATATTACTACAAATAAATAAACCATGATCTCGGGTTTACCTTGCAGCTTTACCAGCAATAAGCATGGATGGAAAACAATGTTAACTTTAATTACACACACACACACACACACACACACACACGCACTGACACACGCGCACACACACTCTCTCACACACACCCTCACACACAGCACTCTCTCTCACCAGCCTTCTGATGACCATCAACTGCCGCTCATCAGCTTATCAATCAGCCCTGCATTAAAGCATTA